GTGGGGATCCCCCTCCAACCCCTACCAAGCCTTGAGTCGGTAGGGATTGTGGGGGAACCCCCACGTAAAAAATTAAAAAAAAAATGTGGATCCCCCCGGAAAAAACCCCATCCGGACATTTATCTGAGCAGGAGCCTGGAGGCCAAAAAGGGGAGGGGGGGGGTGAGCAAGCGACCCCCCCCCCTTCCACGGGACCATCCCAGGCCCGTACCTGCCCTTTTAAAGGGGGGTGTTTGGGCCGGGGGGCCCCTTCCGTTCCCAGAAGGAGGGGATTCTGTAACCATGGCCCCATATTTTTCTTTTATTCGGTACTTGTTTAGCCTGTAAATTTTAAATGCAGGTTTTACATTTGAAAATTAAAATCAGTCCCAACTAAAGGGCGTAAAACTAAGGTTCCCTTTCACATTCATACAAAAAAGGGCTAAGGAAGGGAAAGGAGAAACTTCCCGGGTAGTGTGTTTTTGGGATTTGAACGACGCCAAAAAAAGCTGTAGGCGAAGGGGCTAAACTCAAACCCAGTTGTACAGTATAAAAAGATGGGGAAATTTTAAAAGTATGAAAAAATGTAATTTTTTTTTTTTTTTTTTTTTGGGCCCTTACATTTAAAAATTAGTTTTTTTTTTTTCCCCTAAATTTTTAGGTACCCCCGATGAAGCTCCTGGCAAAAATGGGAAGGAATAAGGAATTAAAAAATTGGGGGAAAAGTGAAGGAAAAAAATTTTTTTAAAAGGTTTTATGTATGGAAAGGGAGGATGATTTGAGAGAATTAGGTTGTGGTGTTTTTTAGGTTGTAATTTTTTTTTTTTTGTATTTTAGGGGTGGGAATTTTAAAGTGGAAAAATTGAGGTGATGGGATTTTAATGAGATGTTTTTTTGTTGAAATTAAATTTTATATTGAAAGTTTTTAAAAATAGTATGATGAACTGGGGGGGTTTTTATTGAAAATACAACGAAAACTAAAAAGGATTGGTTTTATTGTTCCCAAAAAAACTCTGTAAATGGTTTATGTGGCCATGTAGGGGGAGCCCTGAAAACCCCTGTTTAAAAAAGGGGAATTTTTTGGGTACTTCCCCATACTTCCTCAAACAAAAGGGCGGGTCCCGACCCTGGGACGGGAACTGTTATATATTCCACCCTTTAAAAACCCCGGGGGAACATGTAACATTTCCCAAAGGTCACTTATCCTTTATCCTTTTCGCTGCTAGAGCCCTTTTTGTGTCGTTTTGTGTTTTTTGTTTTTTCTTTGTACACTTTTATTAAAAAAAAAATTATTTTACTGCTGAAGATTACTTAACCCCCAGAAAAACAGTATAATACTTTTCGAATAAAAGCAGAAGCTATAGAGAATTAAAATAGTGGTAGTTCTAATTTTATGTTACATATATCGTAAAGTCTAGGAAATGAACAATTTCAGTAAAAAACACAAGTTATCCTTAGGGCACAAAAATAAAGTCATTAAATCACTCAATTTTTTTTGTAAAATAAAAAAGATGAAGCTGCACCATGGATATATATGCCCAACATGTCAAACTCCTTTAATTTTCATGGTGCTTTTGAAATTGTAACCAACTTTAGTACCCTATATTTTTCTATAGGCAAACGCTTTTAAAAGCCCCTTTAGATCATCAGTTTCACTGTTGTTATGGAGGAGGTCTGGTGTTAGAATTATTGCTCTCATTTATGGCATGCAGTAGGCAGTATGTAACATGTATCATAATTTAGGTTTTCACGTGTTTACGTTTGTATGTGCGTTTTGTGTGAGGAGTTTATGTGCTTGGGGTGTAACTAATTTTTACAATTTTTTTAAAAAAAAAAGTTTTTTCTTTATACTTTAAAAGCGTTACTAAACCCATGACCCTGGCATTATCAATATATATTATGTTTTCCTCAGTGCACGACAACATGCAATTATTTTAGTAAATATAAACTGCTGAATACCTTTTTCTCATCAGAAGTAATATAGCAGTCTTGCTACTTTCTATCAGTGTCCAGGCGAGCACTAGTTAAAGCTTGTAGGAGAATGTTTTCACTCTCCCCCTGATTGTCCTATTGAAGCGGCAATAATCCCTGACACTGTCTGTTGACAGTGCTGTAGACACATGCACTCTCCCATATAAAAACTCTCAAAGCAATACACACGCCAAATCTGACCATGTTCAGCTTGCCCTCAAGACTCTGTTCTATCAGCAGATGGATTGGGGACAGTAGAAGGGGAGAGGATCACAGAAGACCGGATTAAACATCACTTTTTACACAATGCGGAGATTAACCCCTTAGGTTCCTCAATGAGTATAACAAGCATGCTTTATACTGCATATACAGACTAATTTTACTGTTGTGGTTTAGTAACACTAACTTTTTTTTTTTTTCATCACATAGGGGACAAAAAGTATCTTATGTGATGATTTTTTTGGTGACAGGTTCTCTGAGACATTCTGGGGTCTAAAAGACCCTCGCATGTCCCTCCCTTGTGCTCCAGTGAAGCGTAATGCAGAACGCCCGTGCATTACATTCTTACACATCACTTCTAGGTCAGGTCAAGAAGGGCAGGAGACTGGGGGGCCAGGGGCTGCACTCTAGTGCAGTATGTGGACGCAATTTGGGCAGCAGCGCAGAGCATCAGCTACATTCAGTACAAGACCCTACTTGCGAATGAGCTCCTGGAATGGAACTCATTTGCAAGCGCTGATCTTTGCTGGACTTAAAAACAAAGACTATGGGTAGCTGATCAGTGTGTTTTGGGGCGAGGGCGCTGAGTAAACCCTTTCACAAAGGCACTGAGGGGGAGATCGCTGCACCAACATTGCTTGTGTTGGTGTGGCGATCTGTCAGTTTTTTCTTCTTTCGTTCAGCCCCTTGGGTTAAACAGGAAAAACTGTTTGTACCCAGCTTTCAGCTTTACAGATATTGGATATGCGCGAACACATTTGCAGCTTAGAGAGTTCGCAAGTTCATTGATCGAAACGTAGAGGGTTAGACCTTGATTTCATTCCAGGAACGGGGCAGGAAGTCCCCACAGTGATGTATACTGTATGTAGCTGATGCAATGTAGTTTATACAGCGCTCCCAGCAGGCACATCTGTTAGTAAAGGTAATAGTTTGTTTGGACCATCTTGGGCCAGACTATTTAACATCATAGTAAACCTGTAGTTAGGTGTTAATGGTGTTTATCTCTACCTGGGAAACTGTTTTAGGACATAAGGCTCCAACACTCTAAATCAACCTCACTGCAGTTTACAGTGCCACAATGGGTGCAGGGAGAAAATTACTTTTGTTTTGTAACCAATACGTGTTTTATGCAATTCTTTTTTTATTTTCAGGGTAACATAAGTCGTCAAGAAGCTGTCAGTATGATTCCTCCTGTTCTTTTGGATGTTCAGCCACATCACAAAGTATGTTTTACTATCCAGGAAACTTTGAACTTTGTGTTTTTGCCTGCTTCATTTTGTTCATTGTTAATGATAAATTATTTAAATACTGTAATTCAAATTCCCCAGAGTAATATATTGATCGTTTAGGGAATCATCATTAACCTTGAACAGGCATTTAATTTCTTCTTCTGGTTTTTCATCATAGATCTTGGATATGTGTGCTGCTCCAGGATCTAAAACAAAGCAACTTATAGAAATGTTACATGCGGACATGGATGTTCCATTTCCTGGTATGATCTGACTTAACAACATTTCACACATTTTTACTTGCAGCCCCTAGTTCCAGTTAGCTTGAGAGGTGTCAGAAGCGGCTGTGGGGTTCTCTGTTGCACAAGGCAGTCAGTTACACAGAGGATTTGTCTGTGTGTAACATTTTGTTTTACATTTGATGTCTGTGTACCCTGGTAACATATTCATGATATAAATGACTGGTTAGTCTAGAAGTTTTAGTTTTCAAATATAGCCCAAATGAAACTGCTTTCTTAAAAAGAAACCCAGGTTTCAGTTGGCTGCTTTGCTAAAAAGTACACAACAAGCACTAGTGTCCCCTGCAATTTTGATACTTCTTTGGAATGTTGGCCTGGTAGACATGATTTCTAAGAAAATTCCAGATCTGAATATGAAAAAAGTTAATAGAAAAGTGGTTAGAATTAAAAAAACTGACAGATAATCAATGGTGGGTGACTAGTAGGAGGACAATCATAGAATAAATGAGCATATGTTTGAGAGCTTTGGATCAAAGAGGAGAATATACTGAGACTTGGGCCTCTATTAATCATGGTGGTTAAAAATATATATAACTAATTGATGCTGCGCTACTCCATAAACAAATGGGTGTGAGGTTATATTCATTTAATTATTTATTTTTAGTTTATTCATCCAAGGGCAGGAGTAGAGGACTAATGAAAAAACACAATGAGCAAAAAATTCAATCAATATACACAAAACTACACAGTGTATATGCAGTGTCAGTGATAAACCCAGTGTACTGGTGACCAAATGTGTAAAAAAAAAAAAAAAGAAAGTGTGTATAATATATATATATATATATATATATATATATATAATATATATATGTGTGTGTATAATATATATATATATATATATATATATATATGTGTGTATAATATATATATATATATATATATATATATATATGCCACAATATAGTTTAGTTTAAGTCCAAAATAAATCAATCAATGTGGCGTACAGTCCCAATATATGCTGTACAGTCCCAATTGAAACCGTGTGTCTTCAACACAAGCCATGAAGCATCCAGTGATCAGTGCAATGAATCAATCCTCCACCAGCTAGCATGCGCACTCACCTCCAAACTGCGACCCACAAGTGGTCATAAGGCTTTAAATGCACTCAAAGCGATGATATCCCTGTGTGTCTCCCTTGATAGTAATTTTTGGCTCTATACACCACCACAATGGATTTGAAATGAAACGAACAAGATGTGCTTTAACTGCAGACTGTCAGCTGTACTTTTAGGGTATTTACATCCAAATCAGGTGAACGGTGTAGGAATTACAACAGTTTGCATATGTGCCTCCCGCTTGTTAAGGGACCAAAAGTAATGGACAATTGGCTTCTCAGCTGTTCCATGGCCAGGTGTGTGTTATTCCCTCATTATCCCAATTACAATGAGCAGATAAAAGGTCCAGAGTTCATTTCAAGAGTGCTATTTGCATTTGGAATCTGTTGCTGTCAACTCTCAAGATGAGATCCAAAGAGCTGTCACTATATCAGTGAAGCAAGCCATCATTAGGCTGAAAAAACAAAACAAACCCATCAGAGAGATAGCAAAAACGTGAGGCGTGGCCAAAACAACTGTTTGGAACATTCTTAAAAAGAAGGAACACACCGTGAGCTCAGCAACACCAAAAGACCGGAAGACCACGGAAAACAACTGTGGTGATGACCGAAGAATTCTTTCCCTGGTGAAGAAAACACCCTTCACAACAGTTGGCCAGATCAAGAACACTCTCCAGGAGGTAGGTGTATGTGTGTCAAAGTCAACAATCAAGAGAAGACTTCACCAGAGTGAATACAGAGGGTTCACCACAAGATGGAAACCATTGGTGAGCCTCAAAAAACAGGAAGGCCAGATTAGAGTTTGCCAAACGACATCTAAAAAAGCATTCACAGTTCTGGAACAACATCCTATGGACCCTTGAGACCAAGATCAACTTGTACCAGGGTGATGGGAAGAGAAGAGTATGGAGAAGGAAAGGAACTGCTCATGATCCTAAGCATACCACCTCATCAGTGAAGCATGGTGGTGGTAGTGTCATGGCGTGGGCATGTATGGCTGCCAATGGAACTGGTTCTCTTGTATTTATTGATGTGACTGCTGACAAAAGCAGCAGGATGAATTCTGAAGTGTTTCAGGCAATATTATCTGCTCATATTCAGCCAAATGCTTCACAACTCATTGGATGCCGTTTCACAGTGCAGATGGACAATGACCCAAAGCATACTGCAAAAGCAACCAAAGAGTTTTTTTTAAGGAAAGAAGTGGAATGTTATGCAATGGCCAAGTCAATCACCTGACCTGAATCCGATTGAGCATGCATTTCACTTGCTGAAGACAAAACTGAAGGGAAAATGCCCCAAGAACAAGCAGGAACTGAAGACAGTTGCAGTAGAGGCCTGGCAAAGCATCACCAGGGATGAAACCCAGCGTCTGGTGATGTCTATGCGTTCCAGACTTCAGGCTGTAATTGACTGCAAAGGATTTGCAACCAAGTATTTAAAAAGTGAAAGTTTTGATTTATGATTATTATTCTGTCCCATTACTTTTGGTCCCTTAACAAGTGGGATGCACATATGCAAACTGTTGTAATTCCTACACCGTTCACCCTGATTTGGATGTAAATACCCTAAAATTAAAGCTGCCAGTCTGTAGTTAAAGCACATCTTGTTCGTTTCATTTCAAATCCATTGTGGTGGTGTATAGAGCCAAAAATGTTAGAATTGTGTCAATGTCCCAATATTTATGGACCTATTTGTGTTGTTGCACCTGCTGTTTTAAGCACATGTCACTCTATATTATTTAAAAGATTGGAGTCTCACAGATTAATTATTGCTTATTAATGTATATTTATTCACCTATATTTGTGTGTATATACGCTGATTTGTTGCATTTGCATAGTGCTTCACCATTTTTTGTTATAAGTCCCATATATTGTTTTCTGTGTAATGCTGCAGCTGACATATTTTGGCATGGAAAGACCTGTCAAAAGCTCTATTCTGGCATTCAAGGTTACAGGTTGGAAACGGTCAAATGGGGTGGATGTGTTTTATACAGCATGGGCACCGCCTACTCAGCTCTAATGGCTGCTGTAAACTGACTCTGTTGTCTTCTTACACCCGACTACCCTCTGAACCGATCCACCCAAATCAGAGGACAGATCCCTTTCCTTTTTTTTTTTCTTTTCTGATGGATCAGACCTAGTGGTAGGCGGATGTAAACTGACATAAATCCATTTTACACCCTCCTGTCTATAGGAGTGAATGTAATCATGCGGTCAGGTCTGCCTGAAAAACTGACAGGCAAACCTGATCGGACTCACCACGTGAAAGGGGCCTAATATCTAGTGTTCTACTTGACAAATTGTTGTTAATTTTATGTGAATTCTAGCACAATCCAATTTGTTACAATTGATGTAGCTGCTAGCTAACCTTTTTTTGTGTTTTCTGCAAATATTAGAGGGCTTTGTCATTGCTAATGATGTGGACAACAAGCGTTGCTATTTGTTAGTTCATCAAGCTAAGAGGCTAAACAGTCCCTGTGTTATGGTGGTGAACCATGATGCATCAAGCATTCCCCGGCTCCTAGTTGAAAATAATGGTGCTAAAGAAGTGCTGTACTATGACCGGATACTCTGTGATGTGCCATGCAGGTAACGAGATGAGGCATTTTATTCTAAATAATCCAAATTATTATTTTGTTTTATTGTGGTTTTATGTTTACCCCCCCCCCCCCCTGTCAGTCAAAGCCAGTGAGTCAATGAGGCTAGAGAGATGGGCTGAGACGTGTGTGTGTATGAATAGACATGCAGAGCAGTGGTCGGGAGTAAGCCTGCTCTGTTGACTCCATAGCCAGCTGCTTGCTACAGGGGCACTCTGCATTGGGCAGCTTTGTCTTTTCTGTTTAATTTTCAGTGCTGTGTGTATATAAATTGATAATTTCCTGCAGGGAGAAGAAACTGCTAGATCACTGAACTGTGTACAAAACCCTGTGTGTTTGTAAACACAGGGCTGTGTGCTGTGATTGGCCACAGCCAATCAACAGGTTTCGGCCATAAATCATTGGCCAGGAACTGCTGACCAAATCCCGTAGCCAGTGACCGTGGGGAGTTGCATGCACACCCCCTAACCCGGAACATGCTGAATGACATACATGTACGTCATCCAGCCTGCCCGTGCAGTACATTTACTTCTATCGGGCGGGATGTAGTCAAGAGAATTGGTTAGAATCCTGCACTCCTTTTTAAGGCTATCAATCCAGTTTGTCATATAATTACAGTGGGTATAGAAAATAATCACCCCCTTTAAAATAATCATGTTTTGTTGCTTTGCAGCCTGAAATGAAGATCGACACAGTTTTTCTTTTTATCCTGCTGTACTAACTCAGTGCAACTTATAGCATCCAAGTGAAGGATATAACACCAACATATCAGAAAAGAAAATCAAAAATATAATCACAGAGATGGAAAAAGGATCACCCCCTTGTGTCGTATTTTTGAAACCAGCCTTTGCTTTAATTACAGCCTTTAGTCTTTTGATTCAGGGAGGGTTTGTGTTGTACAAAATACCTTCCACTTCTTAATAGATTTCACTATGCTCCTAGGCATTGATAAAGCCTTTGAAATTTTTTTGTATCCAACTCCTGACTTGTGCCTGTCCACAACTTTATCCCGGAGATCTTTTGACAGTGCCTTGCCACCCATAGTTCATTGTTTGCTTCAGTAGCATTACCAGAAACTGAAATTCTCTTTCTCATTCTTCATGCTGAGCTAATCAAAGTGACCACAGTTTATCACAGTTGAAAGTCAAATGGCTCTGTGTGCCATTAAGAAACTGATTAGCTATACCTGATTCAGTTTACAAATCATTTTTAGGAGGGGGGGTGCTCTTTCCAAATCCATGATTCTGTTTTTGATTTAACTTTTTTCTGACATGTTTGTGTTACATCTTTCACTTGGATGCTATAAGTTGCACTGAGTAAACAAAACTGGGTAAAACAAAAAAAACTGTGTGCCTTCATTTTAAGGCTGTGAAGCAACAAAATGTGATTATTTTAAAGGGGGGTGATTCATTTCTGTAACCACTGTATTGGGTGGCTTATTGCATGTGTCTCAGGAAACTGAACACACATCATTTAGTAGGAACAAAATTTTAAAATATTCTTAGATTAGTATACAGATAATCATCGAACCAATCAAGTGCCACCATTTGCAGTCCTGTGGTGCTTTGCTAAGTGTACTGCTCTTTAAAGTGTTACTAAATCCAGGACCCTGCAATCACTATATCTGGTCTCCCACAGTACACAGAACATGGAAATGCAATTATTTTAGTAAATATAAACTGCTAAATACCTTTTCTCATCAGCAGTTAGAGCAGTCTTGTGACTTCTATTAGTGTTCAGCAGAGCACTGGTTAAAGCTTGTTGGAGGAGTTTTCTCTAGGAGGATGTAGAACCCCTGGCCTCTGTCTGGGCAGTGCTGTTGGCCAGGTGCTGATCACATGCACTCTCCCAAGAAAAAAAACTAGCAATACACACCAAACTGAGCATGTGCAGTGTCTTCACACTATGTCTTATCAGGAGATAAGAGGGAGACACTGGAACAAAGGGAGGATCAGAAAAGTCAGGATCAAACATCCTTTTTACACAAAGCGGAGGATTAACCCCTTAGGTTCCACGTATACAACAAGCATGCTTTACTGCATATACAGACTGATTTCACTGTTGTGTGTTTAGTAACCCTTTAATTATTGTGACCCATGTTCTTTGTTCAGTTACATCTCTGGCAGTTTCCATTTTATAGTATGTACCTTTTTCCTAAGGCTGTATTCACACCTAAGCAGAGCAATTTTCAGGTGTATTTGAGCATTTTGCACATGAATAGGGTTCTAGAATTGTATTTCACGTGTTTTTTTACATGTATATTCAAGCTTCAGGAGTTTGGGTACAGAGTTTGAGCCTCTAATGGCCATTTACATAAAAAAAAATTAAAAATGATACTTAAACATACAATCACTAACCCTTAAACCATAAATGCACTTCATCTTTCTGAAGAGCCATACACACTCCACAGAAATGCTGGTAGGGTAATTGGATCCTGTCTAAATTGGCCCTAGTATGTGTATGTATGAATGTAAGTTAGAATGTTGTATATATATATATATATATATATATATATATATATATATATATATATATACGGTTGTGTTCAAAATAATGGCAGTGTGTTGAGTAAAGCTCAAAATCCTTCTAATAGCTTTTATTTCCATACACACAAATGCATTGGGAACAGTACACATTCTATTCCAAATCAAAACATGAAGAAAAATATATCAAATTTGTGTTGTTCCTCTAAAACAAATTGAAGAAAAGTGAATATCAGACTGTTCAAAATAGCAGTGTTTGTGTTCTTCTTTACAAACTCAAACATTCACTATATAAAATGAAAAATGTTTGAAGATTTTGCTTTCCTTTGAATCACTTAATGAATATTTAGTTGTAGTCGCACTGTTTCTAAGAACTGCTGTACATCTGTGTTGCATGGAGTCAACCAACTTCTGGCACCTGTGAACAGGTATTCCAGCCCAGGATGATTGGACTACATTCCACAGTTCTTCTCTATTTCTTGGTTTTGCCTCAGAAACTGCATTTTTGATGTCACCCCACAAGTTTTCTATTGGATTAAGATCCAGGGATTGGGCTGGCCACTCCATAACGTCAATCTTGTTGGTCTGGAACCAAGATGTTGCACGTTTACTGGTGTGTTTGGGGTCGTTGTCTTGTTGGAACACCCATTTCAAGGGCATTTCCTCTTCAGCATGAGGCAGCATGACCTCTTCAAGTATTCTGATGTATTCAAACTGATCCATGATCCCTGGTATGCGATAAATAGGTCCAACACCGTAGTATGAGAAACATCCCGTATCATGATGCTTGCACCACCATGCTTCACTGTCTTCACAGTGTACTGTGGCTTGAATTCAGTGTTTGGGGGTCATCTGACAGACTGTCTCCGGCCACTAGACCCAAAAAGAACAATCTTCCTTTCATCAGTCCACAAAATGTTGCGCCATTTCTCTTTAGACCAGTCAATGTGCTCTTTGGCAAATTGTAACCTCTTCAGCACGTCTTTTTTTCAACAGTGGGACTTTGCGGGGGCTTCTTGCAGATAGCTTGGCTTCACATAGGCGTCTTCTAATTGTCAGCTGTGACTAGTGGTGTTTGTTGCCTAAAGTTCTTTTTAGTTTCTGGTCTGCATTATTATGGTAAGTATGATCATTCGGGGCAGAGTTTAATTACATTTTGTTGCTTTGTTGCAGTGGAGATGGCACAATGAGGAAGAATATAGATGTCTGGAGAAAATGGACAACATTAAACAGTTTGCAATTGCATGGGTAAGAATATATATATTTTTTTTTTCAGAAACTCCTATGTGCCATTTGAGCATGTTTGATGGCTGCTGTTCTAAGCCAAACAGTACATTTAAAATGGACACAGCTGCAGCTCCCTATTTGACAGTTGTGTGAGTTCTGGAGCATGACCCCAAACGAGCATGGAATACCTGTGCGTTCCCATGTGGGTAAAAACTTACGTACACTATAGTATGTTTGTATTAACGAGGCTCAAAGCTTGTGGGTGTTTTAACCACTTCATGTCCGGACACTTTTACCCCCTTTTTGTCCAGGCCAATTGTCAGCTTTCAGTGCTATCACACTTTGAATGAAAAATGCGCGGTCATGCAACACTGTACCCATATGAATTTTTTAGCATCTTTTTTTAGACCGATAAACCTTTTTTTTGGTGGTATTTATTCACCACTGGGATTTTTGTTTTTTTTTTTTTTTTGCTATGTAAATTAAAAAGTCCAAAAATTTTGAAAAAGTGTTTTTCTTATAAAATTTTGCAAATAAATAGTATTTCATCATACATCTTGGCCAAAATTTATTCTGTTATCTTTTTAGTAAAAAAAAAAATAACCCAAATTAGTTTATAACCAAAAACCTTTATAATTTTTAAACATTTTTATTTTACATTTTTATTTTTGTTTAGTTTTTTTACATACTGTCACCTTAGAAGTACAGTGTCACCATGGTGACATTGTACTACTTGTGGGGGGTGCTGAAGATTTTTTTTTTTTTTTACACTGATTGCTTTTACACCCATAAAGGCTGTAAAAGCAATCATTTCTCCTTCTCTCTGGCTGCATTCTTGCAGCCACTGAGAACTACTGTGTGAGCTGTGATTGGTCACAGCTTGTCACATGGTACAAGGCTGTTGTGAACAGATTTCACACGTAGTAAGCAATGATGTAAGAAGTGACATCTTGCTTACTACTCGGCATGTGATCACTGATTGGCCAATTAGTGATCACATGATCGGGACCTCGCACAGAGGTCCCATCCGACGATCGGTGTTCCACTGTGTCCGGAGGACACAGCGGGCACCAGATCGCGGTGATGCGTGCTCCCAGGGAGCGCGGCACAAGCAGGGTGCGGGGAGGCCGTTTATAAATGGCCACCCGACCCTGCACTGCCACCGTCCGCCCGAATGGGAGGTGGTTAACAGGGATATTAGCACACACTTCCTACCTAGTAGTATTTTTATACACAGTTGAGTGCAGCAGCATTGCGTGTGTGCGTGCGTGCGTGCGTGCGTGTGTGTGTGTGTGTGTGTGTGTGTGTGTGTGATTCATCTTATTAGAGTAATTGAACCTTATTCAGAGTTTGTTTTTTGGTGTTGTGTTTTTTGTTTTTAAAGTAAACCGTGACCACATTCGTTACACTTATAGCGCAGGTGCGGCTTGGCTTTTTACAGTGCAGAAACATATAAGTAATGTTGCTTTGAAGTGGCTTCATAACTTTTTTTTTTTTTTTTCCTTGTGCCTTGAGGAATGCAGGAATTCAGAGGCTGTCTGGTTATGCTGGAGTGGTCACTACCAAACAAAACAAAAAAAAATAGTGGCCCAACTCAGAATAATCTTTCCTAACCCCCATTCCAGCTTTCCTCTGTTCTTTTCAAGAGGGTGGTTGTCTCTTCTCTACTGAGAAAAGTCTAGCCTTTTTTATGCTAGCTAATTGTTTTCCTTCAGTCAGAATTCTTACTTTATTGCTTCTAAGATGGACTCTATACACAACTATCCAGATTGTTCTTTCTGAAGTCTGACTTTGGAACCTTGAGGATCACTGGGCTCCTCATTTCAGCATTTTCCAAACCTATGTGTACTGGTAAAAGTAAGCTGCAGAGTGCTATCAAGTCGAGAGCCATGGCTTTGCCACAGTCATACCAGCATTTGACCATCTCTGAAGACTCCCTTTTGTAAGTAACAGGTGGGGGCTGTTCTCTGGCAGCAGCCTTGTTGCAAGGAATGCTAGGCATCAATAAATTTCACTCCTGTCATCACTCGTATTGCAGAAGGGGGTTATTTCTGAGGAACTGAGTGCTGATATCACCTGCTGGATGGAAGGTCGGTTTGCTCTTTTTTTTTTTTTTTTTTCCAGGTATTAAGCATTGATGCACCTTTCCAAGCACCTTCTGAGATGCTTGGAGCGTTTCATTCTTTGTCTCTGCTACCCACCTACAGTGTCTGTCGGTAGTCTGACTTTCTACCTGCTACCCAAGCAGCCTGGTTCATTAGTATCTGAGGTCTAGCCTTGTGTCCTGGGCTGAGTTGTGTGGCTGACTCTAGACACATGGAACAGTTCAACTGTTCTGGGTGCCTCCAACTCTGACTCCACCAATGGTTCTAAGTGCCTCCAACTGTGACTCCACCAATGGTTGTGGGTGCTGTCTGCCGTGCACCTGCTTGGATGCTGGATATTGACAGCCTGGTATTTTTCCTTGTGCTGGAGTTGATTTCATTCTCGGAATCTCAATGAGGGTAGTAGTGATAATGCGAACTGGGCACACCAAAAGCTGTGTGAAGAGACACAGGGCAGCCATGTTCAGAATTAATCATCAGACATGACATTTTCTTGGAATAGGAGACATGGCTGCTAGGATCCCCCCCCCCCCCCCCTTTTAGAACATACCTATTACAGCAGGAGTGCATCTTCATAGCTAATTTAAAATATATATATAATACAAGGGACTGGAAACTTCAGTAGAACTGCTATCTCAATTCAGGAATGGCTATTGCCCATTCTGCTATACTAGTACTTAGAAAATACAGTACCTAATAAACAGATACTTTCTAAAGCTGTCATTCACTAATTCAATGCTTTATCAGGGGGATCTGGAACGGGTTGCTTATCTTAATTCAGAATTTATATTAGCCCGACATAAAGTGGTAAAAACATTTCAGTTCTGTCACTCTCTGAACCTCCAGGTAATTAAACCCATTAGAAGTACATGGCTTCCAAAAAAATGTCTTAGCCTGGGCTAATTGATACCATAAAAGCCATTTAGGCCTAATCTGTTCTGATGGCTATCTTATTGACACCTTCTCTAATTCACAGTTTCAGAATCTGCGCATAATACATAAAATCAGACACGATCAAGTTACAGTATTATTGATTATATATTTGAATGTGGAAGAAAACACTGACCAGGTCAAGATCACACATGACTAAAGTATCATATACAGGAGGCGGATTAGATGTCTTCCACAGTTTATAGTAGGTGAAGGCTAGTTAGGATCTGGTTTTGCGCCATAGTCTTATTGACCATAGATCTCTTCATAAAGAGGACCTGTGACTAATTATTTCTATCACAGGGATGCATACATTCCTTGTGATAGGAATAAAAGTGATTCATTTTTTTTTAAAGGGACAGTGTAAAAAATAATTAAATAATTAAAAAAAAAGTTTAAAGTGCCCCCATCCCCCCGTGCTTGCATGTAGTGGTGAACGCATATGTAGGCAACGCCCACATATATAAACTATGTTCAAACCACACATGTGAGGTATCACCATGAATGTCAGAGCAAGAGCAATAATTCAAGCACTAGAACTCCTCTGTAACTTTACATTGGTAACCTGTAAGAATTTTAAAATCATTTATAGGTTAATTTTTAAAAACTCTCCATTTCGGTTTTTTGGCCAAGTGCATCCTGAATTTTCGGGTTTCGATACCAGAATTTTCATTTCGGTGCACCACTAAACTAAATACAGTGACTTTAGTAGAAGGAGACCCTGGAAGTTACTACTTCAAGTTAGTTTGCACCACATCCGCTGGGAAGCCCACTGTAGTCTTCTGAGTCTGAGATAGATTTGCACCCTGCGACTCCTGGAGGACTCCTCTACAGAGTATTCTCAATCCTCTCCATCTTTCTCTTTCACCAGGGAGAATCCCCGAGAGACAGTCACACAAATCAGAAATGGCTGCAGAAAATTCCTCCATTGACACAAAGGAATTTATCGATTGTGCCCCGAGATTTTGAAAATATCAGAGCTAAGCTGACCCAGGCTGGGGGCCCATTCAAGGTGGACTCTGCAAGGGGTCCTTGCTACCTTTTTTGTAGAGGGATTGGGAACCCACCCCGCTGATCTCTCATATTGCCATGGCTTGCTAAGGACTAGCAGTCCTGTCAAACCCAAATGGGATTAGCCACCCAGCTGAGGGGGTGTCGGCTCAAGCCGGACACCTAATTGGTAGGTCCCCCCCATTGCAAGTATTCCAGTGCTTGTGGAATGCTGGTGCTTCTGCACTGTAAACTTGCTGTGGCTGTGCTGGAGCTGCACCTGGAGGTAGCTATCCTAGCACTTGAATTGGGTCCACTCTGTATATGGAAGCTGCCTGTCGCACATATTTCCATGCCAAGGGAACAGACATAATGGCGTCCATCATGTACGTGTGTCATGCCCAATTAATTCCTTTTAAAAGCTGTTATTGGGGTGTGTTGTTCCGCACACCATAACCATCCTGTACTGCCCCAAATGCATCAGGGTTCGCAAGGAAAAACTGCCACATGTTCCACCACAGAGACACTCACCATTCCTTGGTGCAGGGCCAGAAGGCCGAATCTTCACCTTTCTTGGTGGGAGTGCTCCGCAAGGACTTTAGACATTTAGTCTGTTCCCTTCTCTACCACCCCCACCCAAAGAGTTAATTGGCTTGGACTTGTACAGCACCCTGTTGTCAGTGAGGTCATGGGATTCTGTGCACCCTGGAGACTGCTACTCATGAGATCCAGCACTGACTGACAACGTTACACTCCGTAGCTGCTTTTGCATGGAGGTCCTCCAGGTACAGTCCCTCTTGGTGTTAGGGCCGTAGGCAATCGATGTGGATGAAGGCTTTCTCTTCCCCAGCAGGGTTGTTTAGAATAGGCTATATTAAATTTGGAACTAAAGTCCATCTTCAGAGATATCTGTAGCAACAAAGGTTATGTAAGAACACTAGCTGAAAACTAAGGCTTAGCTGAGCTGGGAGGAGTTTTGCCTGGGTAGGGATTCCTACCTTTTATTTATTTTATTTTTTGGGAGACCAGTATCCTTTCATCTGAAGGTGGTGGCATAACCCAAATAGTCATGAAAATGAGGTACCATGTGTCCTGTGATGTAAGATTTAAGAAACTTTGTCTTTGACTTTTTTCTTATCCATATGACAAACTGACTTAAGGGCTCTGGTTCCAGGTAAGCTTTGGTCTTTATCCTTATCTAAAGAATACTGTATGTCCCAATTCTGATATTCACCTGTGTTAAGATGAGAACCACACTTTTCTGGAAAGTATGCCTGATACTTATTATTGAAGAAGCAGATTTTAATTAAGTTTACCGGAAAAAACGAAGCACTGGTTTTTTTTTTTTTTTTTTTTAACCTTTTTACATGAATCCTGTATGTTTGCATGGCCTGGTTTATATACACCTTCAACCAGTTATTTGCTGTGCGGAGTTAAAGGCTTCGTCATTTGATACTGGATGAATAACACTTTTTCCATTTATGCTTATCTTCTTCTATATTCTCTTGCTGTTTGAGAGTGTTAATTTATTCTTTTAACTGATGTCTATGTAGATAAAAGAGAGGAAGCATGCCGTGTTCTCGGGAGAAGAATCTTTTGAAATTGAACGCAAGTTGTTGTTAACCTTCATTTTGCATTTTCTAGGTTACAGATTAGAATTGCTACCCGTGGTGTTGAGCAGCTGGCAGAGGGGGGAAGGATGGTGTATTCAACATGCTCTCTGAATCCTATTGAAGATGAAGCTGTTATATCCTCCCTGCTGGAGAAAAGTGAAGGCAAGGCCATGCATTCTCTCGTCACAAGCAGTACAAGACCCATTTAAATCACTAAACGCAGAAAAACAAAATGTTCTAGAGAAGCCTATTTAATTTCTTAGTGAGCAAAATGTTTTACATATATTTTTAGTAATCTGCAACCACTTTGTTATTGCATCAGTACTTTAAAATTGACCTCCTTCATACCTTTTTAGTAATCAAAACGTATATGGGGGGAAAAGTATCAGATTATACACTTGTACATTTTAGTCACTTATGCCCATCTTTTCATAAATAACCAAACTGTACAAGTAATAGGTAAAAAAAATATCCAAAATGTACATTGTCAAAGTTTTGCCTCTTGAGACCATTCCCTCCAGTACATTAACATGCTCTTGATCACAAAACTAGGCCCATATTTTTTGCCCTGTGCCCTTTGGCCCTGGTAGGTATTGCTGCTGGGATAAAGCTGTGATAGCAGTGCTGCCATCATCAAAGTCCACCTGTTTTTCAGAGCGCCTGTAAGGTGCATTGGAAGCTGCGTGGTCAAAGCAGGTGTTGCAGCTATTGACAAATGGAAATAACTGAATATTTTATATTTTGTGAATCTGAGAACATTACTAGGTGAGCAGTTTTTGGTACACACTGGATATGGGTCTTTACTATTAACTTTGAAGTGCCCCCTCATGATTTCTTCTGGCCGAAGGGACAGAACAGGTCAGAATATGCAAATCCTGTTTTACAGTGTTGCATGCCCTCTCCCCTTCACACTCACAGCAACATGCTCATAGTCATTCCTATTATTGCCATGCCAGTGGAATCCCTCACTGGCTGTTCCCCCAGCTTTCACAATGTTCGTTTTAGAGGCTGAATGGGAGTTTGCTCTATACCCATTCTCGCTTAAAACACTGCTAAAGTAAAAATGCAGTTCGGAGATGATGACAGGCTCTATAACACGTGTCCGGCCTCCTATGCTGCTGTCTAGTGAATCAGTGTTGGGTGTTGTATTAGGTGGGTGACTGGTTGAAACTGCTGGATTTAGGGCTTGATGAGAAGAATAGAGAATACTGGATAAGTGAATCTTTGTGCGTTTGGCAACTCATTGTTCATATATTAATTGATATGAATTGTAGGTTTCTTGCTTTTCTGCTATTTCTGGTCATCATAAAATACGACCTTTGTTCATCACTGAGCATAAGTACAGTCACCATAATCTGTGAATTAGGCCCGTTGTAAATTGCTGATCAATTACATTTTATCTATTTCATTAGCCATAATTTGCACATATAAAAGGTCTGCATGCTACAATTTCTCTCCACTTCTGTCCCTAGGGCTTTATTCCGCTGGTGTTTATGTAAAAGTTTAAGCACTTTCCTACCTTTCAGATAGAATGGTCTTGCATACACTTTTCTATCATGTTCTTGATATGAGAATCTATAAAAACAACTTTTAGTATGGATTCTGATTTTTTTTTTTTTTTTTCACTCGCCTCTTCTTTTTACTAGGATCCCTTGAACTTGCTGATATTTCTTCTGAGATTCCTGGATTGAAGTGGATGCCTGGAATCACCCACTGGAGGGTATTTATCTTCAGTGTTGGGATTATCAAATATATTTAACTTTGATTTTTAGGCACTTAATGATCTTTCTTTCCTAGGTAATGACCAAAGAAGGCCAGTGGTTTGACAAGTGGGAAGATGTACCTACAAGTAGACATACTCAAATCCGTCCAACTATGTTTCCTTGTGACGAAGAAAAAATGAAAGGAATGAATCTACATCGTTGGTATGCCGAGTAGTCTTGATAGGTTACTTGTAGGGGGTGAACATCAGTTGCCATTTTAGGCATGGTACATTCTAGTGCAACTGCGATTTTAATTTGATTTCCAGTGCTGTTATGTAGTGCAACAGTAGTACGACTTGGTTCGTTTTGATGTGTTTTTTCACACAATTTTCATGCTATTGCAATTTCTGGAGGAGGGAGATAATAGTTTTTGCTGTAGTATTGTGTTTTGGTAGCTATGCCTAGCTTAATATGTGTAATGATACTTTCTTTTTCATCCATTGAGGGGCACAGCAATTCAGAAACAGCTGGGATTATACTGCAGCCTTAAGAAAATGGAGACACTGGTAAACTGGTCGTAAGCCACCCCCCATATAACTTTCCTCTACCTGGTGTGCCCCAGTTACTCAGTTTTTTTGCTGTTATCCTATGAGGTTAACTTTTTTTTTTTTTTTTTTTCCTTCAGCTCTGATGAAAAATCAAATTTTTTGCAACAGCGCCTCCATGCTGTACCCAGTTCACATATTCTAAGCCAAAAGTCATCCCTTCCATTTGGCACAAGACTTGGAACACAAAATCCATGGCGTTTATACCAAAGTTCTCTTCCCAATGAAGAAATACCCTCACTTTTAAGAACAGGGGGATGTCTGTTACAGGTTTTCTTTCTGTAGATTAGACATTCCAAATCTGTGGGATGAGTTGGTGATTTCAGAGGGGTAAAAGTAGTTTCAAACTCTAACCCCTCACCACTTCCCTCAAACCAACAAAAATCTGCTCAAGGACAATCAGTCTTGCGGTCTTCCCTGAGCCATTTCTTGTCCCTGGAATTGGCCCTTCCATTACCTATGGAGGACAGGTTCAAAGGATTCTTTTCAAACCTGTTCACAATACCAAAACCCAATGGTGGTAGTTGTCCTATCCTGGACCTAAAAGCCTTAAGCAAGTACCTTCAAATTTACAAGTTTTGTATGGAATCTGTAGATATTCAAAGATACTGATCTGCCATTTTATATGCCATTTATCCATCTGTGATCAATGCTTTCTGCACTTAGCAGCAGGAGACAAACACTTTTAGTTTGTTGTTACACTGCCATTTGAGCTATTCTCTGCTGCTAGAGTGTTCACTGCTCCTGAACTCTTAACTCCGGACGTTCAGGTCAGAGTATTTTTTTATTTTTTTTTAACAGTTTTGTTTATTGAAGATGTACGTTGGTACAGACAAACAAAGGTACATAACAGGTCAGAGTATTTAGAGTACCTTCTTCTGAAGGACTCATTCCCCTACCAACTATCTGCAAAAGCCCACAGGACTATTCAGTTTTCTCAGACCTTTGGTCGGGTACTTAGCTTTCACAAATCCCAGGCTTCTCCTTCTCCTGGAATACTTGGGCCTCATTATAGACCTAGCCCAAGAAAAAATCTTTCTTCCCCAAAAAAAAAAACGTATCCTTCCGATCTTGCGCTCGGGCCTTAAGGTCAAAGAGATATCTCTTGAGTTTCTCCTTGAGTATTCTGGACCTCACAGTGGCCTCCTTTTGAGGCTGTTCTGTTTGCCCATTTCCATTCAAGGCCTCTCCAACACAGCCGCTTGTTTTCATGGAACAAACATGCTACCTCTTTTGACCCCCCCCCCATATGCTTCTATCCAGCCAAGCTAGGATTTCCCAGGCTTGGCAGATTTCCAACCCAGTCTTGACAATAGAGAAGTAATTTCTACTATATTAATAAAAGGTGATCACAGGTGCCGGCTGGGGAGGAGTGTCAGTCTCTCTCAATTCAGGGAATGTGGTCACCAAAGAATCCAAGCTCCCCATCAACATCTTGGAGCTCAGGGTGATAGAAATGTCTCTGCGCCACTGGGCCCACCTTCTTAAAGCATACCTGATCAAGGTGCAGTTGGACAATGCCATGGTTGTGGCCTACATCAATCACCATGAGGGTTTGAGAAATCCTGTAGATTTTAAAGGAAGCTAGCCTAATCATGTCTTGCAGAAATACTGTCAAGCGATCTCTGCTGTTCACATCCCGGGAGTGGACAGTTAGAAGGCAGATTACCTGACCACCTGGACCAAGGACAATGGGCCCTTCACTCAAATATGTTCAACCTAATGGGAACGCCAGATGTGGATGTCCTGGCCTCTAGGTTCAACAAGTTACCTCTGTTTGTGACCAGGATCAATGATCCTCTAGGACAGGGGTGTCAACCTGTGGCCCTCCCTCTGTTGCGGAACTACAAATCCCATGAGGCATTGCAAGGCTGGCAGTTACAAGCATGACTCCCAAAGGCAGAGGCACGATGAAAGTTGTAGTTCCTCAATAGCTGGAGGGCTGCAGTTTGACACCTATTCTCTAGGACTAGCTTTGATTGTTCTGATAATTCACTGGACTCATGCTAATTTTCAGCCTTTCCTCCAGGGGGACTTCTGCCTTGACAGCCCCACAATATAGAGCACCAGAAGAAACTAGTAATTCTGATTTGCACAAAACTGTCCTAGAAGAACCAGGTACACAAGATTTACTGTGATCTCTAGGACTCCTAGCCTCTTCCAGACCTGCTGTCTCAGGGTCCTCTTTTCTATCCTGCCTCTCAGCCACTAGTTTTAACGGCATATGACTGTCCAGGTTTTAAGAGACAGAGGGGTTTCTGAGTCTGTCGATCTATGCTAAAAGCAAGGAAAGTCACCTCCAGAAAGACCTACTATAATATCTGGAAATTCTTCTTTGCCTAGTTCTTTGGTTATCTCTGTCCTAGAGAAACCACTCTCTGAACCCATCAGGGAACTCCTCTTAAAAAATCTCTCTTGCAAGGTAGCCTTGATTGCTGTCACCTCAGTGAGAAGTGTCTTTAAGTTAGCAGCTCTTGTAAGGAGCCATCCTTCACACTTCACAAGGAAAAAGTAGTCTTGCACCAATGACACTCCTTTCTTCCTAAGGTGGTGTCAGTCTTCCGCCTTTTGTGAAGATGTAAAAGCTACAGTTTCTATAAGGAAACCAGAACCTCTATTTGTCCTACTCTGAGAACCGTGCAAGAGACATCCTGCTTCAAGCTCCACCATTGCTAGGTGGATAAAGACTGCACTTCTCAAGAGCTTAAGCCGGCCAGATATGGGTCAAGTCTTGCCCGGTTCAGCAGAGACCAGCCGTGATTCGATCCATGTATGGGCAGGCTGATTGTGCCTAAGTTGATCCATCAGTCTACTTGGGTACAACCAGCATGTCCGTTTTCTAGCATGCAATTATTGCCAGCGGCTGTTAATCACTGTGTTCTCCCAGCAGGGACACCTCCCCATGACTCCCCGGATACACTGAACCCCCTCAGTCTGCATCCATTCTGTAATTACCTTGTAGCAAAGATCCTTATTTAGCAGTAGTGGATTCCACGTCTAGAATCGCTGGGTATAAACACCTGTAAATGCTCTTCTGCATCTCCTCCCCTTGATCATCTTCAAACATTACCTAAACTGCCCAGTGCACTTCCATTTGCAGAAGGGAGACACTGACTTTTTAGTAGTGGTTATAGGAGATTTTTCACCATCAAAATGTTGTAACGTTAATACTTCAGCTTTTGTACACATGCTGTCCTTACTGGATTCATTCATTGCTCAAGCCACACACATTCTGAGCACGAAAGGCTATTCCTATAAAGCTTTACCTATTCTTGCTCAAGCCAACTGAAGTTTCTATCATGATTGGCCCAACTCTGAGAGGATTTTTCATTCTCCAGATAATTTTCATGTTTAAAAAGCAGTGAAGTATTCCCACAATGTTTCCACTGATGGCAGAGCATCCTTTAAGGATTCAGTTGATAGGTATTTGGAGGCCCTTTCAAGTCTTCATTTTCTTTGACAGGTCCTTCCCTGCAACTGGCTATTGCCACTTTGTCAGTTACTGCCACGTTGTATTTTCAGTTTTTCCATATGCCACTTTGTCAGTATCCACGCCACTTGGTGTTGGCCTGTCCTGGTGTGACGTCCTCTCCTGCGCTCCACAGTGGTTCCACTACATCCGGTTCCGGTCCCCAGCGCTTCCCCATTGGTTGGTGGCAGCTGGAGCGGCCCTCAGCTACAGGAGGACTCGTAGGCTCATAGTGGGTCTCCGCATAGGATTTGGCCACACTTTTATGATGAGCAATATACACTTTTACCGCAGTGAGTTGCAAATTGTCTGTGTCAATAAAAATGGCTTTTAATACCAGACTTAGCTGGCTGCTCCTGCTTGTTCCTTCTATATTTGCAGATTAGCTTCAATCTGAGTGTGGAGCTGCTGCTATCATCAGTTCCCCTTGCATTTATTTGTTTTTATTAAGTACTATCCCACTTATGCTTTAAAATATTTTTCTATCCTTACCCGTCCCTTTGTGAAATTACCTCCTAGTGCCATTATGGATATTTTTTCCAAATAGTTATGTGACTGCTCTACAGACTCTCACCAAGAGATCTATAATTCCCTGATATTCACTAGTTAGGCATGTTCCTGTCTTTTAAATTGGTTGCCCTTCATTCATGAGGACATGCATGTTGCGCCCCCCCCCCCTTCCCCCTTAGTACTCTGTAAACTATCATGTGAGGTAGTTCTTACCTAGTGTCAAGATAGAGGAACCCCTTCCCAGAGATTGTTCACTTTCCTCATCCTGCAACTTTTCATTTGAAATCACAAAATACCTAGCCCTTGGTACCCACCCAGCACGTCTTCGTTTGGCCTTGTATAACCACCTTAACGCCTTTTGGCTTTTGTACTCCTTGTGCACCCCCTTTTGCAAGAAATTGCTCCTCTTTGTCGTTCGTTGCAGCTTCCTTTTTCCCTCCGGGGGCCTTCCTCATGTTCTCTTTCCCACACATTGCCCTCTCTTTGTGTTTAAAAGAGTAACTCCCTTAAAAGGGCCTCTGCAAGAACAGGACTTTTTTCTTGTCATTAACTTTAACAGCAGTTGCTTGGTTCTCAGATGTGTTCTTCTTTTGTGCCTCCTTTTCTTATACTACATGAGGACAGAATCCTGGAAGCCAATCCTTCTTGCTTCCCTGGGACCCTTCTTTTTGCACTTTTTGTGGAAACATCATTCTTCCTTCTTTTTCTTCCAACTGGCTTTCAGAAGTTGGTAGGTATGAATGAGTTTTTTATTTTTTTTTTTAAACTTCTTTCCTAGGACTTCTGCACTTGCGTCCTTCTCAACGGCCACCATCTTTTTTTTTTTTTTCTATTTACATTTTCCAAACAGTTGTTTGACAGCTGACTTTGAGCCTCTGCTGATCTTTGCTTCAGCTACAAGGTGCTCATGCCATAATCTGTCTGTTCGGATCCATTGACCCCTCTTTCCTGTAGGCCTGTTTTTGATGCACACCCCTTCAATTGTTTTAGGACATTCCATGACCCAAGAATTGACTCCCATATCCTGAACTGTATGATAAAGATAATAGGAAATTTGACATACTTCTAACTTCAATGCCCAGGAGTACAAGACACGAGGTCCCGCTCCTTTTTTCCTCTGTGATCTCCTTACTGATTGCTAAAAAAAACTGTATCCTTGTGGGGTGCGGGGAGGGGCACCTAATCAAATACATGTCAGTGACTCCTTGACACACACATGCCTTCCTATGAGGATTCAGTACTGTGCTGCCTCAAAGAACCTGCAGTGTTCTGAGTATCCTTAGTTATGTATGAAATGTTTTTGGTAATCCAAAGATTGCACCTACAGTATACAAATAAAAGGTGGTATCAAAAAGTTTCAAGACCAATTTAGTTTTGTAACACGCCAACAGATGGCAGCGCAAGGATGCATGCACATTCACAGGGAGCACCAACCTTTATATGTCAGTGTACCAAAAGACATCATCCTGTGTACAATGAGTTGTTAGAGGTGTTTTGAATGGCTCGCGTGCTTCAAGAGCGGAAGATCTTGACCCCCAAAAACCGTTTGGCAACTTATGCATGGTGATTGTCTGAGAACAATCCACAACATTGCTGCCATTGTCTGTGTGTCATACGGAACAGTCCAGGCAAACCTCGTGATTTGAACATGCGTCGTGTTGCTGCCAGATTCGTTCCCAGGCTGCTGACCCAGGAGCAGAAGGTACGCCACATCTAAGTCTATCAAGAAGAACTCCATCAATATGCTGTGGATGACCCAACCTTCATTTCGAGGATCATCTCCAGTGAAGAAACTTGGATGTACGGGTTTCACACACAATTTCATGTTTGCTCTTCTAACTTGATGTCCATGATGGAATGGCAGACGTGGTAATGCGTGTCGTCAGAATAGCACCAGTTGCACATCCTCCAATATACACAGGACGATATCTTTAGGCACACTGACTTATGAAGGTTAGTGCTTCCTGTGACTGTGTATGCAGCCTTGTGCTGGCATCTGTTGGTGTGTTACAAAACTAGTCTCAAAACCATTTGATACCACGTCCAAATATCTCTAAAAACAAAAGTTGACCTAAAACCATTTTTAATTCATTTTACAAAGAAAGAGCATATGTTTTTATCTTAAGAGAACTGTTTTGATTAATTGGGTCCAAAAGCTGCTCTAGAAGTGTAAAGACAGCAGTGTGTCATGGTTTGGTGTGTTACTTACTCTTCAACTACCTTTTTTTTTTTCCCCTGTAACAGCTTGAGAATACTGCCACATCACCAGAATACTGGAGGTTTCTTTGTAGCAGTATTGGTAAAGAAAGCTCCTATGCCATGGAACAGGAGACAACCCAAGGTATATATTTATATCTCATTAGAAAAATACATGACTCTGGAGCACTTGCCTGTGATAAATCCATCTGACTTGACTCCTAGATTGTAAGTTCTAACGAGCAGGGCCCTCTGTTTCCTCTTGTACCAAATTTTATTGTAACTGTAATGTCTACCTTCATTTTGTAAAGCGCTGCGCAAACTGTTGGAACTATATATACCCCGTATAGTAATAATAACTTGCTTTCATTACTGATCCTTGGAGTCCTAAATGCTGACCTCTAAACTGTTGAACTCGACAAAGGGGTCAATTTTAGAAATGCTGCAGCGTGCCATAATTACGTGTAGAAAGATGCAAGATAAAGTATGCTTTTATGCTACTGTGTACACAGTATAATAAAAGTATTAAATTCCAATTCAAATGGCTTTGGTAAGCAAAAAAACAAAAACAAAACAACATACTTTTGAGGAGGTAAAAAAGTGACAAGGTTAGAAAGTGAGGTGTTAGAGGAAAAGGTTGTGAGTTTAGAATATGAAAGAGGAAAAGGTTGTGAGTTTAGAATATGAAAGTGAGAAGTCTGGGTAGCATTGTAAGTTTTTTGGGTTTTTTTCCACTCAAAATGTATTAAATATAGGCCCTCTTTCAACTTAGTGTTACTAAATCCACAACTGTAAAAATCAGTTTATATATGCAGTAAAGCTTTCTCGTTCTACTCGCTGTGCTGTACATTATGCTATTTGTTCAGCAATGTTTTCTAACAAACCTCTGATGGCTTCACAGAACAGCTGTATTTATACTGAGGTTAAATTACACACAGGTGGACTCTATTTACAAATTAGGTGAAGGCAATTGGTTCCACTAGATTTTAGTTAGGGGTATCAGAGTAAAGGGGGCTGAATACAAATGCACACCACACTTTTCAGATATTTATTTGAAAAATTTTGAAAACCGTTTATCATTTTCCTTCCACTTCACAAATTTATGCCACTTTGTGTTGGACTATTGGATAAAATCCCAATAAAATACATTTACATTTTTGGTTGTATCATGACAAAGCGTGGAAAGTCTCAAGGGATATGAATACTTTTCAAGGCACTGTACAAGTGTTCACTCAAATTTTTCTAGCTGATTTGGTTATTGGCTTTAACGTGGTTAAAGCATATCTACATGAGAACGAATAAAACTACGCGAAGACTCTGTTGGATGTCAAAAAAAACATAGCAGCTAGCACAATACCATAATACTAAGTATGTTAAACGTCACAAAACAGTGCAATGCTAAGATAAATTAAAATGTATGTGCAGTACAATAGTGTATTGCAAATATATTAAACTCTTATGTGTCACCACAAATTGAAAAAAATTAAGGAATCCAAATGTGAAGCCAAAAACTGTGAATTCAGTGGTTCTTCAATTTATGAGGAAATGACAGATGTGGATACCAAACGCCACCAAAACTTCTTAACGGTGAATCACACAGCACCTCGGTGTACAACAAATGGAGGCTTACCAGAATCATATGACCCCCAATTATGGTGGTCAACCGACACTTGTGTATCAAGCCAAGATATCCAGCTTTCCTCAAAACCACATGTCAAACGCTAGAATTTTCAGAAAGTACAGAAAATACCTCATGGTCTTCTCAGAAATGGTGTCTTTGTCACTTTCTGTAAACTGAAAAAGCACGGAACTTTATCTAACTGTGTAAACTACTAGTCCCATAAACCCATTATGTAATGAAGTTGAACAAAGCCAAACCTGTTTGAAGTCCATCCTGTATGACAATTGTTGTTGCCTCAGTTTGAAAAATTATTCTCATCTATATGAGTTTAGAAATGTCCTCTAAATGCATGTTTAACAGTGCCAGTGTGAATGAGTCCTCAATGCAGCTAAATTCATCTAAGCCTGCTTTAAATCAGGGACATCTAATCGCAGGCAAAAGTGTTCTAGGAGAAATAAAAGTTATTCATACATCTCAGGTAACTTCTGTGATATACTGTATATTGCGTTTTGGTTTAAAGATGTTTTTAGGCTTGATTGCCATATAGCGGTTTGGCGGTTGCCAGGAGAATGGTATGTGGCTGACTGCATTGTGCCAAGTGTAAAGTTTGGTGGAGGGGGAATTATGGTGTAGGGTTGTTTTTCAGGGGTTGGGCTTGGCTCCTTACTTCCAAAGAAGGGAACTCCTAAGGCGTCTGCATACTGTATCAAGAGCTTTTGGACAATTTCATGCTCCCAACTTTGGGGATGGCCCCTTCCTGTTCCAACATCCTGTGCATCAGTGCACAAAGCAAGGTCCACAAAGACATGGATGAGCGAGTCTGGGGTGGAGGAACTTAACTGGCCTGCACAGAGTCCTGATCTCAACCTGATAGAACACCTTTGGGATGAATTAGAGCGGAGACTACGAGCCAGGCCTTCTTGTCTGAGATCAGTGCCTGACCTCACAGATGCGCTTCTGGAAGAATGGTCAAATATTCCCATAGACATACTCCTAAACCTTGTGGACAGACTTGCCAAAAGAGTTGAAGCTGTTATAGTTGCAAAGGGTAGATCAACTCAATATTGAACCCTATGGGCTAAGACTGGGATGCCATTAAAGTTCATGTGTGTGTAAAGGCAGACGTCCCAATACTTTTGGCAATATAGTGTACATCCGCTGCCACAATGGCATACTAGCAAGATGGAGACACATAAGGCCAGAAAGGCCAGCACATGATGACTTTTGAAATCCTCTTTTTCTCTTCAGAATGTCTGTAGCATGCTCTTCCTCCCGGTACCATTTTAAATGCTCAATCCTTTGTGAGCTTCTTGGAACTAACCACTGTTCAACAAAATCCTAGCAGATTGTGTGTGATCCATAAAAATACTAGGCATATAAACATAAGTAATTACTATTGGTATGTTTGTATTAAACCTGAACTACAGGTCAAACTCAAAAAATTTAAATATCGTGCAAAAGTTCATTTATTTCAGTAATGCAACTTAAAAGGTGAAACTAATATATGAGATAGACTCATTACATGCAAAGCAAGATAGTTCAAGCAGTGATTTGTCATAATTGTGTTGATTATGGCTTACAGCTCGTGAAAACCCCAAATCCACAATCTCAGAAAATTGTGAAAAGGTGCAATATTCTAGGCTCAAAGTGTCCCACTCTAATCAGCTAATTAAGCCATAACACCTGCAAAGGGTTCTTGAGCCTTTAAATGGTCTCTCAGTCTGGTTCAGTAGGAATCACAAACATGGGAAAGACTGCTGACCTGACAGTTGTGCAGAAAACCATCATTGACACCCTCCATAAGGAGGGAAAGCCTCAAAAGGTAATTGCAAAAGAAGTTGGATGTTCCCAAAGTGCTGTATCAAAGCACATTAATAGAAAGTTATGTGGAAGGGAAAAGTGTGGAAGAAAAAGGTGCACAAGCATTAGGGATGACCACAGCCTGGAGAGGATTGTCAGGAAAAGGCCATTCAAAAGTGTTGGGGACTTTCACAAGCAGTGGACTGAGGCTGGAGTCAGTGCATCAAGAGCCACCAGACACAGATGGATCCTGGACATGGGCTTCAAATGTCGTATTCCTCTTGTCAAGCCACTCCTGAACAACAAACAACGTCGGAAGCATCTTACCTGGGCTAAAGAAAAACAGACCTTGTCTGTTGCTCAGTGGTCAGAAGTCCTCTTTTCTGATGAGAGCAACTTTTGCATCTCATTTGGAAACCAAGGACCCAGAGTATGGAGGAAGACTGGAGAGGCACACACTGCAAGATGCTTGAAGTCCAGTGTGGAGTTTCCACAGTCTGTGTCATCTGCTGGTGTTGGTCCACTGTGCTTCATTAAGTCCAGGGTCAATGCAGCCGTCTACCGGAAGATTTTGGAGCACTTCATGCTTCCTTCCACAAACAAGCTTTATGGGGATGCTGACTTCATTTTCCAGCAGGACTTGGCACCTGCCCACACTGCCAAAAGCACCAACACCTGGCTCAATGACCGTGGGATTACTGTGCTTGATTGGCCAGCAAACTCGTCTGACCTGAAATCCATAGAGAATCTATGGGGCATTGCCAAGAGAGAGATGAGAGACATGAGACCGAACAATGCAGAAGAGCTGAAGGCCGCTATTGATGCATCCTGATCTTCCATAACATCTCAGCAGTGCCACAGGCTGATAGCTTCCATGCCACGCCGCATTGAGGCAGTAATTGCTGCAAAAGGGGCCCAAACCAAGTACTGAGTACATATGCATGCTTATACTTTTCAGAGGTCCGATCTTGTTCTATGTACAATCCTTGTTTTATTGATTGCATGTAATATTCTAATTTTCTGAGATTGTGGATTTGGGGTTTTCATGAGCTGTTATCCATAATCATCACAATGATGACAAATCACGGCTTGAACTATCTTGCTTTGCATGTAATGAGTCTATCTCATATATTAGTTTTACCTTTTAAGTTGCATTAGTGAAGTAAATGAACTTTTGCACAATATTCAAATTTTCGAGTTTCACCTGTAGATGTTTAAAGGATTATCAAAGTTTATTTTCCGTAGAGTTCATTTGGCAAATATTTGCTTTTTTCCTGTCTAAAATCCCTTTTCCCTTACTGTTCTCTGAAAAATAACCTAAAACATGACCCCTTTTCTTGCAGCTGCTTCGGAGGCCCCCCACTGTTGCGGTCAATGTGCCAGTTGTTAATGATGCTGTTGAAGATGCGACAGAAACAACAGATGAACCAGCTGTGGGAAGAGATAATGCAGAGAATGAGGACGGAAGTGCCAAATCTTCCAGCAATCCTGAGACTGATTCTACTAATAAGGACAATGTGTGCGGGTAAAGTGGACTATATACACTGGCTTAATTTGTTTAAATTGTCATTTAACTGATGCTTGTATACATGCCTCTTGTTTTAAATCATTTCCTCTAGTGTTGAATGTCACTCCACTTTAGTAAAGTTTATTGCTTGTTATGAAAATTAGAATTCACCCTGATAGGAACTGTCATTATCAGGATTATCAGGTCATAATGAAGTTCTAAAAGAAAAAAGTACATCTAAAACTGGTAAAATGTTGGACTATATTTTTGCTTTTAGATACATTTTTAAATGGTGAAACCGGTGACTTAGTCAAAGACTGTCGTTAACCCCTCCTGCTCTACAGTGTCCTGTGGGTAACCTACTTTTTTTTTTTTTTTTTTTTTTTTTTTTTTTATACTGTACATGGTTTTTACAGTGCCTCTGGTGACTTGCCAAGCATGAGCAATAAGCCCACAGCTTTGCATTGTTTTGTGAACATGTTTTGTTAATGTCTCATTATGCACGGTCATACCATGTATAGTGAAACATTATTAACAAACCTCCATTAACCTCTTCGACTCTGCAACAGGTCTTTGCGTAATCCTTGTTGGTGCAATCTTACTTCTGTATAGAATTAGATATTTATATATACTGTTGACTATTTGTATGACATCTTGCCATGTGAGCCATCTCCTATCATGTGTATTGCGATCATTTTACCTCTCCCTATCCTCCTGAGTCTAATTGTCAAAGTGTACCATATACCTTCAGATAAGTTGGTATGTGAGCGAGTTTTAGTCTTTGGCCATTACTCATATCCTAGAGTCATCGGCTGTTCTAGGCAAGTCCAAGTGCTTAAAAGTCTTCAACCTTAAACTGATCCCAGAAGTTTCAGACATTGGGTTTGTCGCTTTTGTTTTGGCAAAACTTTACGGTGCTCTGACACAGACTCTCTTCCCTTGAATCTTGGCCACAGGGGAATCTGATACATACTTTTCATGCAGGACTTATGCATCCAAAGTGAAAACGGACAGGTCAGTCATTGCTTCTTCCATATGGGGGACCTTACAGCCTCTGTGGAACTCATGGAATGACTACTGCATGTCTTCATTTTCATTCAGTAAGTGCAAGGTTGATTAAGGCCATGGTCTCTTTTCTCCACAAAGTGTTTCTATCTTTATTCACCTTAGCTAGGACAGGGTTATGATTTTCCTCTGACCTGCTCCTGTAGATCCTCTGGAAGCTTTCCTTCTATTGTATGACTGTGGTACACACTTCTGAAGTTTATATCCCAGCTGCTACTCCTTTTAGTTTGTCCAACTCTCTAAGGTCAGTGTCGGGTGTAAGGTGCTTCTTGTTGCTCTCAATTTTGTTGAGCCTTTCCGTGAGCCATTGACACATGGGTCTGTTAGTGTTTTGCTTTGTTGCCCAGCCCTTATTTGGACTTCCTTTGGGCATCCTAAAGGTAGATCTAAGAATCCTATACTGTACAATTAAGAAAATTGAAATTATTTACCAGCAAATTATTTTTCATGGAGTACAGTACAGGACACTTGTCTCTTCCCTCTTCTTTTGATCTCCATTTTGCATGATATTAAACTGAAGCTGACTGGGAGGGACTATATGGGTGATGTCTCTTTACCTTTTTTAAATCCATATCAGATCATCTAAAGGAGGCACTATAAAACCATGGTTAAGACTGAGAATACTTTCTCCTGTACTGTGCTTCAAGAAAAGGACTTTACTGGAAAGTCAGATTTTTTTTTTTTTTTTTTAGTAATATTGTTAGAACCTCCAGAATCTTTGATGGGATTGTGATTTATTTTTATTTATTTTATGTTACTCTTTTTACTTTGATTTTGTTTTGTGTGTTATCAGTGGATTCTTCAATCAACTGTCACAAGCTGGTTGATAATGATCCATATATTCCCCACAGACTGAACATCGAGCACATGGCAACCCGCAGGTTTGACTGTGACAGCTCTGTCTTCAGAGCAGCCTTTCTCGATGGTGGGCCAGCCAGTCAGTGTCCCCATACAGGCAGGCAGCTCCCTGTATGCAGCCAGAGGTGGCCCTCCTGGATGACTGCATGAGCAGAATAAAACTTTTCTTCGATCCAGATCCCCCTGTGTGTGGGCCTATGAACATGGGCATCCAGTACTTTTATAGCACTTGCCTGTAAATAAGGGGTGTGGCAATCAGTCCTTCACATCCCTCTGTTGGTGATTCCTGAGCTGCTTTCCATGGGTGCACGGACACATGATCGAGCTGTATGATAATTGAAGTCATGGCTTTGTGGCCTGTTGGAACTGGAAACTGTGGCATTCTGTCCCTCCCTGATGTCACTTCTGTCCACACTCTACTACATTCCTGGGCGTGTGGAAGAGAAGGACTCTGCTACCTAAAGAGTACTGGTAGAGGCTGCTGTTAGGCCCTATGTTTTTCTCTGGACATGTGGACACCCTCTATAGGAGTTCCAGTAACATGATAAGGATAATAAGCCCACCAAGTGCCCTGCTACCGTGGGAGCCATGTGTCCTTGGCGATCCATATTCCCTAAGTGTACACAAAGCGAAGTCTATCTGTGCATGAAGGTTTGCCCCCACCACTGGGAGGTGATTCCTACCATGAAGAAGAAAAGAAAAGAAGCGCCTCTAAGTGCAGTATAAACCACTATTTAATAGGTGTCAAATGTAGAAAACTCCTGTTTATTTGTGATAAAACGGGCTCATAAGGTGCAGTCTCATAGAGGTGGAAGAACGGCTTTGTCCCAGCTATGACAGCCGCGTCTGCGCTCAGGGAATCGTAGTATCAGGAGAAGAAAAGCTGGCCGGCATGTGGAGTCTCCTAAAGATGGTGTCTGGAACGCACATTCAGGCGCGACATCTGTGTGACGACGTCAAGGACTAGCATGCATAGCGGCATGTTTCAGAGCATGCACTAACCTCTGAGGGCAGAAGCGCGCTCCTTTTTCAAACCAGAACCATGCTCAAGGCTGGTAAAACTTTATTGTATGGTGTGTATCCCTACTGACTTCTCTGCAATTATATTCTGTGGCCAGGATTCTGGCTTTCCTGCAGCATGGTATCGATAAAGGCTTGACCTTGAGTACCAGCAAGAGTCCGTTTTCGGCCTTGACCATTCTTTTTCAATGTCCTTTGGCTTCTAATACCCTGGTTCCTACCCCCTCTTTCTTCTTGTCAGGATCCCCTCTGATGCCATGTGATCTGAACGCAGTGCTTTCCATTTTGCAACAACCTTGAGAGGTTTCCTTAACACTTTTCCAAAAGTTAGCATTTTTGTAGTTGTTACCTTGGATTGCAGGGTTTGGGAGCTGCTGGCCTTGTTGTGTAAGTCTCATAGTCTGGTATTGTATAGAGACAAAGCTCTGCTCTGAATCTTTTCTTCCTGAGGTAGTTTCAGCTTTTCATTTGAATGAGAATATTCTTACCTCTGTCCTAAACTGGTTAATTATAAGGAGAGAGCCTTACATTTTTTTGGTTTTTGTTTGGGCAATAAATGTTTACCTAGATGCTGCAGCATTGTTTCATATAACAGACTTTTTTTTTTTTTCCAACGTTGGGGACAGCTCTTGGAAGAGTTAGTCTGCCTATTCTGCTACAATAGCTGGATAGATCAGATAGACTTTTGCCCTGGCCTATGCTCTTGGAGAACCAGGAAAGAAGGGTCCTGGTTTCAAACAGATCGGTGAGAGCTTTGTGGGTTTTCTGTCATAAGGCTTTAGTATCTCACGTGTGTAGAGCAGCTACTTGGTCTTCTGTTCATGTTTTTTTCCAAGTTTTATTAGATTGACTTGTTTGCATGTGCAGATGCCAGTTTGTGGCGCAAACTTTTGCAGGGAGCAGTGTAAGTCATGCCTTTTTTTTTTTTTTTTTTGTCTTTGGAGGGTAGGTCATATTCTCTAATTTGGCTCACACTGCTGTAGACACTGCTCTGGACTTTACAGATATAGCTTCTTTGCTGAGTGCTTCAGTGAACAGTAGACTAAATAGGGTTTTGTTTTGTACTCACCACCATAAAATCCTTTACTCTGCCTTCATTGAAGGACACAGCTCCTGTTCTCTAGGTATGTTTGCCATTATTTCCTCCTTTACTGTTTGCCACTAAGGAAAGTGGGAAAATCGTTCTGGGCCCATAAGGTTATTTTATTGGTATTGCTGCCCTAAAAAATTGATAATATAAATGAACAGTTTTTTTCTGGCCCGTTAGCGTCTACACCCCAGTGTTTGATAATATAAATAAACTGGTTCCCTGCCCTTCTCCTTCTACACACACCCCAGAGTATCTTCGTGGTCTCCTTGCTTGTAGTGTAATGAAGCAAAAATGGAAACTGAAGTGCTACACCACTGCTAAGAGGTCCAGATACAACTTTATGCCAATAAAAGTCAGGTGGACAATCCAAAGAGTATCAAATGCAAAACCAGCTGCTGACAAGGCCTGTGTTTTTAATTACACTGGAAGAAATGACCTGAAAGGTCCAGTTCATTTTTAGATACAGTTCACATTGTTTTCAAAGAGTTCTGGACGAGGGTTTTTTTTTTTTTTTTTTTTGCTCCCCCAAAACGTGTAGGTTTTTGGATTGTCCCCTTGACTTTATTGGACTAAAGATCTATTTGGACCTCTTGGCAGTGGTGTGGCGCTTCCATTTTCATTTTTCTGTTATTAACTTTGGCTGTTTCAGCCAGCAGACAGGGACTTGGCCCTGGTTAATAAAAAAAAAAAACACAAAAAAAAAAACCCCACAATAATATATTTCACTATAATCAATAGTTTTTTTGTAATATAAAAGATGAGACTGTTTCCAGTTAATAAATACCAAATATGTCAAACTTCAAAATCATGTACTTTCGAAATGGTGCAAATCTATGCTATCCAACATTTTGAATAGGCTGCGGATTTAAAACCTTTACAGCCCATCAGTTTACAGTTAAACCGAAACAGTGGGCCCTTAAATTAATTCTGTACTTGTTGCACATGTGCAATAAATTTGCATTTATGTGTGTGCTCTACATTTATG